TATTTCATACACAGTTCACTCATCTGAACGAAATGATGACCTGAGAGATTGAAAATCGAGTGACGAGATGTAACGCTGATGCACAGCACGGGACAAATAGCGTGGAAATTGCTTTTTCATCTGATGAGGTACACGTCGTCTGTCTGAGTTGTCCAAACAGTGGGACCGAAATGTAATGGTAAGGATAACAAAGAGCAGAAGGACTGATTGGACAACGGAAACACTTGTTTCTTTTTCTAAGCTTACTTAACTCGTGCTGGAGTCCATCGTCAAAGATAAAAGCAGCAAGAGAACAAGTGCTAGTTATCCGGGGTATCTTTCAACTAAAAATCATTGATGCAGACTTGGAGGTGCTGGCGCAGATCGTTGTGTGTCGGCGCCGGATCGACACGTCGACTGAGTGCGTTATCATCCGAAGCCACGGCTTCAATCAATTCTCGTAATAAAAAGTAACCAAAAACAAAATCAAAGGTATACTGGGAGCGATAGGAGAGACTGCCTTGCTAGTCGCTTCAGGTTTAAGCATATCTTCAGCGTCATGTGTGTGTGTGCTTCCTTTGGTAAGCAAAGGGGTGCGCTGGCGGACCCTGTTGTCGGCATTCGTCGCACAACTGGACCACTGTCACCACCCCATTGTTTAGTGGTCAAAATCCTGGTCATTTGTGAGTGGGCCAGGGGGTGTGGTGGAACGCCAAGGTGAGGATCCGTCCGAGCCATCCACCTGCGGCCTCCCTCGTCTCCGGTCTTCTTGACTCTGTCTTGACCCCGGGCCCAGGCGGGGGAGGAGGAGAGAGTGTAGGTAGATGCAGCGCAAGTCTACCGGCACTATAAACCCCTGCGCAAGTCAACGTCCCTGCTCCCACAATGCAGTCTGTGGGGCACACGGTGGTCATCGTCGAAATCGACGGACGAACTGTCGTGTGCTTCCTTTGGTAAGCGTTGACTGAGCGTGACCCTGATTGAAAATGACGCAATTACACCTGAAAAAGTCGCTGCTTCGGTTACCCGTCTTCTTCTAATTCTACGGCTATCAGAGTTATTTCCTTTTAAACAAGCAATCGGTTAGGAGTTTGGTCCGAAGGAACTAGTACAGTCGGATTTCATGCCCGCCAACTCAAATGAGAACATTCATGGAAAAACTATTTCATTTTAAGTAAACCCCATGACTGAAAAGCATTAGCAGCCGAACGTCTTTTGAACATCCACTCACGTCAGTTAACACCGGCGTTTGAAACCCAGTCCGACCAATGTGACTTTGTGTAGTGACGAGCAAATCAGTCAGTCGTACAGAAAGTCATGTTCTGTGTGGGGATTTCGAACCTCAGCCGTTTGGTCAGCTCAGTTCCTTGCTCCATAGTTATCGGACAGCAGAAGAAATGACCTTGTTTTGTTTTATTCGACGCCTTTACTGTATGCTTCGAAATGGGATGTTAACCACCTCGTAATCACGTATTCCCGTGTACCAGTATCCTCTGATCAGGAACGTTTTTGTGGCTTGGAATAAAAGACAATCCTAAAATGTCAATGTCTGTAGATCAAAATGGCTAATACAACAAGAACTGGGGTGGTGGTAAGGTAGATGGGCGCTCACCGACCGTTTTGATGGAACTCACTCATCCCCTGGTGCTTTACGGGCTCTCTCTCTCGAGCCCGATTGACAACGGCTAATAGGCCAGAAATGGCCATTCTAGTCTCCCCTGTCCTTGTTGCTATTAACATTCTGCCTAAGGACTGGAATGTTGAGTGACAGAAGTCAACAGAGCGTTCGAATTATACCAAAAACATTGTTTGCTGCCCATTCGTTCGAGCAATTCCTCAGTACGAAAACACCTTTTTGTTAGATGAATTATGGTATAGAAGAATTTTACGCAACACAGAGCAGCCTTCTATGTTTGTTCAACATGCATGAGATTTCATTGCCGCTTTGGGGTATTGCAGACCTCAACGTCTACGTGACTCGCTAAAAGGTTTATCAAATATTTGCCTGTTCCGTGATGGAGACTGTCATCAACCTTCTCGCAATATAGCTCTCACTAGTGATGCGACGAGACAATATCTTTTTTGAAATGGGAGAGCTGGCAATGATGATTTAATACTAGACCTGTTCCTAAATAGAACTGCCCACCTGAGTTTGGTCGCTGTGAAGGCATGAAGATAACTTAGTACTTCGGCTGAAAATCCGCTTTTTGCATTTGAAGGACAAGCAGAGCGAAGTGGCAATACGTCTGAGCGCCTGAGTGCAAAAGAATCTGATTTTTCTATTCATTAGTTGGTCTTAAAATTCGTATACGACTTACTCACCTGTTCGCTACAGCTATAATCCGATGTCGGAACTTAGGTCTATGCTGGCGGAAGTAGTTAAGGCAAAGAGGACTTGAGCATTGGAGCAAGAAGCTTGTCCATGCGGCAATTTTATTTCCTTTTTGGACCCATTATTTCACATCCCAACCCAATAGATGTGGCCGACATACAAGGCGTGCGATCGTATCACTACGCAGGTACTGCAATGATTAGCTCCCATACGAAGCGTTCGTTTTCGTAATAGGTGTGGGTATGACCTGAACGGAACGTTCAATACGCTAATTGCGACTATTTTGTGGCCGATGTTGACGATTAGCCAGATAACTGCTAGGTAGCTCGACTTATCAGTAATTGCATGGTGACGTTAAAACGTGTAGTTTATAACAACCGCACGCAATATATTCCGAGTAGGAATTTGACACGACAGGAAAAAATCTCTTGTTCCATCAATCAGGCTTTCTTCATCGGATCCAGTAGCACACCAAACTGGAGGCAGCATTACCTGGGATTCGGATTCTACCAGTCAGCTATTGATAATTGAGGGTTTTTATATTGTCCGTCGATGCAAAGGGCTCATCTGCGACCAGCCTCTCGTATAGAATGACATTAAAGCGGTTTCGTCGATATGATTTTAATAACAAGCATATCCATTGAAAGGACTCCAGACTGAAATTTTAAACGAGTCATTTCTTTCAAGTAATCAGATTGTTGAAGTGCGCATTAGATGGTAGATGAGAGACTAGGATTCTATTTTTAAATTCGGCGGTGATACCCATGAGGACGTCTAAGAAGTCAAGACTGACAAACGTACGCTTTCGGTTATTCGTCATCAGGCCTGTGCGGTGATATAAGGGCAGAGCAGCAAAAGTTAAACATCCAACAATAGTCAGCATGGGGGGAGAGGGTTGAAGGACGTTCAGGTGGGGGAAAGTCCATCTCTAGCACAAGCGTGGTTCACTTGGCTGACAGCGGCCACCGGGTAGACGCCAACCAAGCAATCAGAGTCATTTATAAAGTGTCGACGAAACACTCCAAATTCCTGCGTCAGCGAATGCTTGTGACGTCAGGAGCAGTGGCTATAAGGCTGGCCAATCCAGCCCTGTGCTCCCACAAAGCGTTTGCACAGGCGTTAAGGCTCCCCTGGGCAGACAAACCCAGCATACGTGTTCATACCTGTCACGTCGCGTAGGGACACGGGCAACTAATCGCCAGACGCCTTCCCCCTCCCCCTCCCCAAACCCCAGACAGAACTAGAATTTGACCACTGAGCTCTGAACGTCCTCCAACCCTTTCGCCCCATTTTGGCTATTAATGGATGTTCAACTTTTGCTATTCTGCCCTTATATTACTGTTCAGGCCTGATTATGAATAATCGAAAGCGTACGTTTGCCGGAGTGCTTTTAAATTAATAAAATTTCCCATAAGCAATTTAGGGCACCATGATTCACCACAAGCGATGAATACGGGTTTCCCTATTTTTAATTTGGACAGTTAATGCAAGAACTTGCTTTAATCTGTCGAGATGCAGGCGAAATCAGCAAGTAGCGTGAATAATTAAAGAGGAGAATTAAGTCTCAGTTGCCCAAGCAACCAGTTTTCTGAATGAAAGCGGAAAAGTATGCAAAGATGGGCATTTGAAGAAAGAATGGCGGCTCAATTTTAGAAGTCCATTGCGGGTGAAGTAAGGATTTGAGCCTTTGACGCACGTCACATCGGCCACGACCAGTAACAGCAAGCGAGCGGCCTTGTAAAATTAAACTCCCTTTTCTCTTTCCATTTATCCAAGGACATTTCTTTGTTTAAACATGGATACTGACTACTTGCCAACTTACACTGAATTTTCTTTTTTGCCTTTTGCGATATTTATTGACGTCCTCTGCAGATTACGCCTCAACGGCTGTCAAGGAAAACATGCTTTTGAGCCAAGTCACCCATAAAACCATAGACAAATTGGCATTTTGACCTGTAATAAACCATGGTGTCAAGTGATGTTTACTGATATTTCTGTCCCTTTTATAATTATTTTCGCACATCTCACTCGATATTTATCTCACCCGTTGGATCTGGCTTCAGAATGCTTGTTTTCTGGAAGCCTGGGATTTGGGAATGGCTGGCTGGCTGATAACGACCAGTGTGCCACAAATGGCCGTTCTGGTTTCTTTGTCTTTTTTCCTATTCCCCACGCTCCATGCATAATCTCCGGCTTCCACCGCACAAGAATCTAGCAGCACCAACGCTTTCTCCGTCACCTTCCCGTTTGTGCGTATTCTCAGTAGGTGGAGGGGGGGGACAAAGAGAAGCTGGTGTTTTCATAAGTCTACGTGCCTGCGGAGGGGCAGAATCTCTGGCGAAGATCACCGTCAGTGGTCCACTACGAGATGTACCTACACCTGAGCCGCTTAACAGACACACTCCATTCATCAAAGTCGTCGCACCTGGCCTTGGCACTAGGGCCTAAGACGGGGTAGCAACGCCAGAGTCTTGAGAGGAGAGGCGTCGCATGTGTGCACATTGCACTGACTCATCTGCCGTTCTGCCTAGGCGTCAGGCTGACGGGGAATAGCGAGGACATAGAGGCTGCTGGACTCGAAGGGGAGGGGCTGCAGGGCCCAGCGCCAGTTGCTTATTCCTCTGACTCCCGTGGAAAACCTGTGGTCTCGATGGATCGGCGCCGTAAACTCTACTCATGTGACCCAACACTATGCCGACCTTCCTGGGGACTGAAGTCTGTGCTTTGGTAACAATTGGGAGATGGTGGTGGTGGTGGTGGTGGTGGTGGTGGTGGTGGTGGTGGTGGTGGTGGTGGTGGTGGTGGTGGTGGTGGTGGTGGTGGTGGTGGTGGTGGTGGTGGTTATGGCAATGACGAAGATGATGAAGCTTCCGACCCAGTACCTAGACACTTTCACGGACGATTTGCACAATTTCCGTGCAAATGTTTGTGCTTCTGACCATAGGTGTTGGTCGGTGACTTGGTTGCTCGAAGGCCAAGTAACTAGTTGCGGAACGACTTCTGTCTCATTTTTCCCGTCCTTACTTGTCTGTTATTTTTTTGATTTTGAGCTGACGGAATGCACATATTTCGTAAGACATGTCACCACATTCACGCTTATTTGTTCAAGCTTACCAGTCACCAGGGGATGCGCCTATGCCGCTACAAGTGAACTTTGCCTTTTAAAGCTTGACCGCTACTAGCCCATCTTTTTGCTTGGTGCACATTGAAGGAATGCATGTGCATTATTGACTTCTGGGAGAAGTAATTCAACTATACGAAATTATTTTTTGGCGATGAGGTCTATGAATGAGAATTCACAACCGCCTACAAAATGTTTCCTCTAGTGCGTTTGAATCAAATTAACAACTGCAAGAAGTTTTTATTCGGTTTATTGCATTTCTCTCATGGGAACCAGGACGCTCGAAATTATTCTGTACTATTACCCTTGGCGAAGTTAGAGTGCATAGTCATCAGAGTTTTTATCAGAATAAGTACAAACACAAGCCGAATTTTATTAATGTTAATAAAAGATATTGATCACAAAAAACAGCCATTTATTCTCCAGCGTAATGATTGCTGCTCTATTTTTCCGATATATGCATTAAAAAGACCCAAATTTAAATTTCGGGGTTGTCAATCACACCAACCTTATGTCATTATGGATGGCTATAAAGACTCTCGCAGGAATCTTTTGGGCTACTTTTTTGTAAACTTTGTTTAATTTTGCCCAGAAGAAAGTAAACTTTTCCAAGACCTCGAATCCTCTAACAATAGCAATTTCGTCAATTTTTTACCAGTCCCTTATGTTCAAAAGTAATAGAGCTTGTGGAAGACATGCAGAGAGACAATGGTTTAGGTTACTTGAGAATTAGACCGACTGATTTTGGGCGCGACCCTCCTGCATCAATGGTAGAGCGTCAAACTCCATGACCAAAGATCCCGGGTTCGAATCTCAAGTGATCCACACTTGGGGTTGGGTATGACCGGCTGATGACGGCTAATAAGCCAGAAATGGCCATTCCGGTCTCCCTTGTCTTTGTCGGCTCCATCTCATCTATGTCTACTACTAGTCGCTGTGCGACTGCCTGCGAGGGTTCTAGTATGAGCCCCAAGGCACAACGGAACGAGCATGTTCCGTAACCTGATCGACGAGCGCCCACTGTCATAATATATATATGTATATCATTTTTCGTTCTCTGTTTGTTACCGACCCGTTATTTTTCGGTTGCGTAACTACTATTTGACGTCAAGTTTAGCTTTTATTTACAGTGACTTGCACGCCCACCTGTTAATACTTATCGTTTTTTGTCGAGTTCTCCTGAAGAATCCACAAAAGCTGCTTCTAACACATACGACTCACCTTTGTCGTGAGATGACAGCATATCTAAAAGTGGGCATAAAGAATAATTAGTGAGGGTTAAACGTCTTCATATCTCATCAACGCGAAACCTTTGCAACCGGAAAATATTTGTCCCCTGACGGAGTAGGACAGCCACCTCCCTAGATTCAGGCCAGATTATCTGTCTGTTAAACTAAGGGGGTCTGTCTGTCAAATGTATGAACCACATACCTCTTTCAACTCTCCCGGATGTATAGAAATTGGCGACCTGTTCAGGACACAATATCTCGGCTGTGAGGACAAGGGTTTATAACAACCGGCGTCTTTACCATCTGGATTACTTGGTCGCAGTCGTGAGCCTTTAGCTTTTAATATTTTTAACGGTGGAAATCGTGAATTGCGAAACTAAATAAATGTGAGTATGTGTAGGTGAGTAAGAGCGTACGCTAAACAATAACCGTTGGCTTACGCGTCTAGGTTTCTGAACTGAGCATTTAATAGAAACATCCTTACTCACGACTTAAAACGGCTTGTAGCGATATTAATGAGGAAAATTTTGCCCCTGATGCTTTCGGGAGAGTCGTAAGATCTCGCTTATTTGAAGGTTTCAGTATGTAGTTTCTATATTCCGTACAGAAACGATGAAGTTTGTCTGTAGTATTCTTAATTAACAGTGGATTATACAGCAACAGCCTTTTGAAGTCAGCTGTACCATGCACACAAAATGATTGTGGAGTATTAAAAACGGAATACCACAAACTTTGTCTAACAAGTTTCTGTCTTGATAACACGCATGATGCTGACTATAGTAAGGTTGTTGGCAATTTGATACTTGAATGGCTAAATCAATATTCTAGGCAAATAAACTGCTGCACTTTGTCTAGCAGTCGTAAGTTTTTTAGTTAGAGCCCTGCTGATGATGGCGGTAAGTGCTTGGGCATGCCGTAGAGTATTTGCGAGTTTTGCACTTTTATCTGTAAAAACGGCGCAGACAGACGTTCGGCCAGCTTCTGTGAAAAATTAGTGGTTTTGGTGTCGTGTGGAACAAAATTTTCTAGAATTCAGACTATTAGTCTACCGCTTACCAGTCATTAGTTGCCCCCGAATAAATGTGTCGCAAGTCCAATTGTTCACCTCAGTGGAGGAATTGGCACAGATAAGTCCAGTCTTCATGCAGTGGCCGCCCTAGGGACTTGCTTTTCTCGCTTAGCAAAACCTCTGCAACCAAATGCCTTCCCTGGTCGAGCGAAGCGTTTATACTGATGCCAGCTATGCGTCCCAAACTGTGGGATTGGAATAACTGACATTTATTTGCAAATCAAGGCTTAAAGGTAAGGAATTCCTTTAAGTTGTTACCGCCCCGAAAATGCACACAGGTCATTATTACACGCACAAACCTGGATCCTGAGCCAGATTCTTTAAGCGTCGAAGGGGGATTCATGTAAAACGATGGCCATTTTCGGAGTGTGTTCATGTTAAGTTATAAGAGCACACGAACTTTGCGGGATCGCCGTGCAAGTTTAGGATTTAAAAGACAATTTTCAAAGCAGAAATAAAATGCTTTTCAATTTCCGAATAGATTTAAGTTTAGTTATTTATTTATCAGTATGCACCAGATATCAGTTTTACATTTCAACAAAAACAGACTAAGTGTCTAGGTGGATGAATTTTTGTCTAATGTAAGAAATGAACACTCTGAAAACGACAGTCTGCAGATCGATATACGTTTCTTTCAGAAAACGTTATGCATATACAACCCTTCTCTCTTGTTTAAAATAACCAGAAAGCGCAAGTGTCTATTTACGGATTTGAATAGAATAAGGGTGCATAAATAGATTCACGGAGAGCATAAACCACGTTTAGAGTATCAGTAAATCCAATTTGTGACTTTTGCGCTGTCGACATATGTCCTCTGTATGCTACCTGGTTTGGTTCCCTTTTAGCGGAGATTGAATTTTCCAACAACCAGGGCGACTTTCTCTGGCCTTTGCTTGCATGTCTGCATTTGATACTGATCGAGGGTAAACACCGCTTAAAATTTCATTCAATGAAAAGTCAAGAAGAGGCAGATGACATCATTCTAAAACTCTGATTAGCGAGGGAATGAAGAGTGCAGTGCCGAGCATTATTACCAGGTGCGTTGGTCAAATTCGATACATATGTTGAAGAGAGTGCCTCTTTTTGAAGATTGGGTGCATTGTAACTGAACTATAACTGACGGTTCGACAGTCGTTTCTGACGATGTCCACTATGCGTCCCTCATCGGAGTGCGCGCAGGGAGGGGGACTTTCGCTGCATCTACCGCACTCTCTCCTCCGCCGCCTTCCCACACCGAATGTCAAGACCTGGGGCGGGATTGAGTGCACGTGGCTTGCACGGCGTAAGTCCTAGCCTAGGGATGCCACCACAGCATCCATATAGTGCATTTTTATGGATGCACAGCCCTATAACGTACACTTTATCCCGATCTGGCCTCCGTGTGAATCCAGCGCGATTCCCGCGTGGGCAGTTGTAGTATGCCGGTGACGTATGACCAGACAGCCTGAAAATCACAGTAATCAAACGTGCTGCCCAATTATTGATTGGCATATTTATAAAACAAATATGATATGCCCCAAGTGTCTCTTTCTTCGTTATGCATTTGTTATTTTGAACAAAAATTTGACCGCAGCGCAGCCCTCGAAGCAAAGGATTTTTTGGAACTCTAAACAGAATGTGTCGGAAACAGCTTATGGAGTAACCAAGTATGTGTAGTTTAGCTTGCAACATTTTCTTTATCTACTCCGAAGGCGTTGGAATCATCGCGGGAAGTTGAGTAAATTTGAGGAGTTTCCCTCTTTTGTTGAAATTTCTCAAGACATTCTCAACTATGCCAGCACATTCTGATGTCTCCAAAAATGTATTAAATTCTAAGATATGTCTCGATTTTGGGTTGCGTCATTCACCGTTAAAAGGTGGGCCATTTTCAGAGAAAAGTTCTTCATGGAAAGTCGATCCAGCCAGGTGTCTGTTTTTTTGGAAGAGACTTACACGTTATATGGGAGTAAGATTTAGTGACCTGGGGTGATTATAAGACGGCATATGGATATGGGTACGTGATATTCCTCCCTTTGCCTCTAGGAGACCCTTACATCTGGCGACCCCACGAACCTCAGTGTCAGTTGTTATATTCCAGGATGGGCAGTTATAAAAGTGTATTTGGAAATAGGAGTACTATTAAGGAGTATCTATTAAAGATTCGGGCTACCTGGACATTGCACTCACTTGCGAGAGACAAAAACAAATAGTTGCTTAGAAGGTATGTTAAAACACTGCGTTGAAACTGGTTATTACTTTCAAACATTGATAATTGATATGAATTTTCCGCAGAAAACGTCCTCTAGTATCTTTTACTTACTTTATGATCCATAAAATGAATCATGCAACCAAAATTTTAGGAGCTACGTTTTTCAGAATTTCTTTATGCCAACAAAAACAAAATGTCAATTATTTTAATTCCGGTTGGGGCAATATGATTAATTACTGCTAATTCGTGAAATATGATCAACTACACGAAAATGCTTGGATAGTTCTGAAACTAAACGACATGTTTCAGCCTGCGGACAAGTGAACGATCCTCGATCAAATGCAAACTCGAAGAGTATATTGAAGTCACCATCAAGCTGGTTAAAAAAGGAATAATTGAAAGTATGGAAGCACTGAAACCGCAATACTTCCTGTCAAAAGCATAAACCAAAATTGTAGAAACACATATCGCATGTATAACAACGTTTACATCATTCCTCCGACAATAACTGATTAAATTGACTTCGCGAGCTATTGTAACACGCGGAAAGGTAGCCAGCCAACTATCTTGTGTTTGCAAAGTGCCCTCATAAAGGGGTGCCGAGAATTGAGTTTTGTGCTATTCGAGAGGCGACAGATACGGACGGAGAAGCTTTTTTAAATTTCTGGGTGGATACGTCGCAGGAATGGCAATTTCCATGGGATTATGTTTTAAGAGAACTGGCAAACAACGCAGAAATAGAAAATATGCCAGTATCCAACCGGTCTTCTTCTTTACTCATGAAATAGAACAAACAGGCGCAATCATAAGTATGCCACCTTCTCCTTGTGAGGAGACATCTTCTTCCGTAATCTTACCGACGACGGTCGAGTTTGCTGAGGCCGAGAGTAACCTGCAAAAATTGGTTTTTGTCAGCAGCAGTTGCTGGCGTTCTCATCTGAATGCTTTAAAAAAACTTGTAAGCGGTTTGCAGTTGTCGCATTTTTTAAATAAAGGCATTTCTCGGAATGTTCCACCCAAACTGCGAGTACTCTGATTGTTTATTTATCTGCAGATGATGATTTTGATCGTATTTGTAAGCTCACCCAAACGCACAAATTCACCATCATAGCAAGCGGACTTCCATATCGAAGGCCTACGATGAACATTTGCTTATTCAAGCCAAAAGACCACCACAGTCTGTCATTTCTTTAAAGGCGCGATCTGCTAGGGTCTTTCACAGGCGAAGTTCTGCGACTTTCATTTTCCTCCAAAAAATTAAAGCACTTCGCCTGCTCATACACTCACCTGACTGTCCTGACATTTTTGCCAAAAAGTGGACTTCGTTTTCTATTTATTTAAGAGAACTTCCAATATTTTTAATTATCTATGCGCTAGAGACCCGTTATGTTCCAAATACAACAGTTCTGATGCGTGTAAGGTGGCGCCGTTTCGTTTTTTGGTCATTTATCAACAGAAATTGGACCACCCAAATCATCTAACTGTGCGTGCGGAAGTTAACTTACCAAAGCATGTCCGGCTACTTCGGATATTTGTTAGTACCTGCATATTCCGCGTGTGGCAAAATAAAATATTGCCGGAAAACAGGCATGTTGCTTTTTAAGCATAGAACTGAATAGGCTTCCCAATTAAAAGTTTAAAGAAGAAATAACTACTGTTTTTTTTCAAAAATGACGTGATTACGCGCATACTGTCTCAATAGATTTGGGCAGAGTAAAGAACAGAAGCCTAAGTTGTCAAACGAATCGCGCGCAAATAGCAGATACGATCTAGAGTGGTCATAAGCATAATACATCTCTTGAATGTAAAAAAATGGTTGATTGCCGAACAAAAATATATTTATTTTTCTTAATAACATAAACTTGAAATTTTCGCAAAATTTTAGGCTAATAAGCAAAATGTACAACATGCCTTGTATTCAACTTTTCCATTCGGAGACTAATCAGCATGGCTTATTAACTCGGTAATTTTTGGCCACTTTCAGTTCCATTTATTGCTTTTGTCCTTCACTCGTAGTTTTGATTGCTGAGAAGGGTTAAGCACAGCAATAGGCCTAAAATGCAGTCATAGCCTGCAGGGGGAAACCGAAGCGAAGTGTTTGTTTACGCGTGCAGGTCGGTAATATGGCTTCCGTTTCCTACTGGCCTGGTCCTTTTTGTTCTCGCGGGCACGCACAGACACGTACGATCTTCCAGCTCCCATCGGCGTGCTGTTAGACGAAAAAAAACCGAGGTTTGCTCTGAAGTTCCGGTTTTTTAAGGCATTGTCAAATGGGGCTTTTTAGCGCCCACGCGATTTTGCGCCAAGGCCTGCTTGGTACATTGCGAAACCATTTACCGACCCATCTTATATCTCGCCTTGGAGATGCTTCATCTCCACAAATGCACTGTGTTTTTCTCGATCGCAAAAACTGAATTTTGGGATTCCTTTTTAAGGGACACTTCAAAATAAGATTTTAGAAATCCCCCCCCCCCGCCTCGAGCACGGTTCAAGTTAAAATGCTAAGGGGAATTGAATTTCCCTTTTTTTCTAGAGTTTTGGTGAGATGCAGCCAATTTTGTCTTTGAAATGAACACTTTAGTATATGACTTTTAATTTCAAATACTCCGGAGCCTTCTGTATATGGATTGGGCAGCTAGGATGATCAAGAAACGAATAGTTTTAATTTGGTTTATTCTAATCTAATGTTGATTTTCGAATTCCGATATCTCTGAATAACTTTAATGGATTAACATAAATGAGCAAGCTAAAATAATATTACGTAGTTTATTTTATGCCGGAATTACATTCACTCAAAACTTACTAACGCTGCAGACAAACCAGATAATCCGCTTAAAGCTAAGGCATATCAGTCAAAAGTTACGAATCTCCTTGGTGCTAGGCCTTCAATCAACATTTATATTCGAAATGAACAGTAGAACCGGTTCCTTACTTTGCAATAGAAATTATTCGAAATCATTGCACTTGCCGCCCGTTTCTCATTGGTCAGCAGAATTCACAGTGCGGTAGCCATCACAGCCGCGGCCGACTAATCAGCGCTTCGCCTAGCATCTCTGCACCAATCATCTTTGAAACCAGAAAGGCCTGCACTCGACACGGAAACTCGATGACTGGTTTCTTCTGGCGTCTTAAGAGACGACGGTTGTTCCCACTAAGACGTCTGTAGCTCTGTAGTCAGAGGCACCAACACTTGCCAACTTAATGTCGTACCGAAGCGAGATCACTATCCCAGTCACCAAGGATCCGCGCACCTTTGAGCAGCGGAGAAATGACATGGTCACGAAGCTGGAGCAGAGCTACAAAACCACCTCCTCGGTTGGACCCGGGGATTCTGACACAACTACCGTTAGCAGCATAAAGACGGAGAGTAGCACTGTTGGAAACCGGGCCGTCGCAAACCCTTCCTGGGACGTTCAACGCAGCAAGTGGATCGAGGATGCCAGAAACCGATTTGACATGGACGTACAAAATATGCGAAAAAATATGTTTGCTTTAGAGGTAAATAATTCGGTTTTTTTCCCAAATGCGCTTTAAACTGAATACAAAACCTTGTTATACCGAACGTGTACATAAATTTATTTCTAGGGATTTAATTTTTCATTTAACTCATGACTGAACTTTCGAGAAAGGGAGACATTAACGAAGATACGACGAGATTCATCTAAAATGTTAGTTGCAGACTGTTTGTTCAGTATTTGCTGAGTTTTAACTGCTGCCACTCCACCGAATTCCGTCGACTTTTGGAAGTTAAGTAGGCCTTTTTCAATTTACGGTTTGCCTTTCCAACTAGCTCGCTCGCTGGAAAATTTAAGAAAATCATTTTTTCTGCAAATACGAAAGCTCGTACTTGCTAGACTTCTCGAGTGCTATACACTGGTTTTAAAGACCGCTGATTTGAACAATCTGTTAACTTTTTGGAACGACAAAAAGGCGCTTGCGCATTGCGACCGCCTGCTCGGCAGTCGTCATCCGCTGGTTGAGTACTTTAACGAGCGACTGCTTACTAAGGCATCTGTTAAAGTTCACTAACCATTCTTTATTTCTGCGTATTACTCCATTGATAGCCGTTTAGCTTCGTTTCATTGAATTTTTAGTTACCCTTAAGGGCGGTCAAAAAGCCAATGTCCGTTGCCACTGCCCGAATATAAAACCGTTACACTGATGGTGCCTTGGGCATGCAAAAACGCTCTGTGACAGTCTTTGAACTGTTTTTATCTCTTTTTCACGATTGAGTCTTCGACTCAAGGAAATTTCATTGTGGTGGAAATTATTTGATAAACAATCAAACTTCAACTTACGGTGTTTGCTATGAGATTTTCCGACCCGAAGTGTTTTTCACCCACAAAATGCAGGGCGATCCCCCTTCCTCTTACCACAACCGCTTATTGGTGAGAAAGAATGTTCGTTTAAACATGATGGTTTTTCTTACTTGAATATCTGTTGAGACACCCAACAGGAAACGGGGGAACTGGGTATGATACTCGTAACTCGTCTTGTGTAAATTCAGTACATAGTCAATTAATGGCAAAGTTTTAGTCCAGTGTAACATTAGATAGCGGAGTAAGAGGGGAAGTTGAGGGCTAGGTGTACTCAGGGACGCGAGTTTAACTAGTGGTGACATGTAGACTTAAAAGACTGATTCCTGATTCTTTTACTGGTCTGAGTCAGTCATGCCCTATTTGGGTTTAAAAGGTCAGGCGTTCGAGCCTTAAACAGTACTTTCTAATGTCGAACGCTCTGTAGCATTCCACGGGTTGCATTCAAACGCCTTATTTGCTGCAACAGCCTTCTGGGACGCTGGCGTCAGGCTCTAAAAATAGTCGAGTACCATAATCTCGCAGTTTGGCCATACTTAAGGAAGTTCCTCCCATGTTGCAATGGAAATTCCTTTCCAGCCACGTCCAACGATGTTCATAGATGAAATTTTCTACGTTTGCATCAATAAACTCAAGAAACGACCTCTTGTTGATATCAACATCTAAAAAGAATTCTTGGTAAATATCCAGCTCAAACCGGTCCTCTGAAATGGTATTCACAGAACCAGATGCACGCCCCTTGTTCACGCCTTTATTCATTATAGACAACTTTGCTCATACTGACTTTTGACTTATAGTAAGATCGTTGGGGAGAACACGCTCTTGTCGGCTGGGCCTTGTTATCTGCGCAAGGACTGCTCCGGTATCGATTAGGCATTTCCGCCTCGAGAAAATGACATATCTAGTGTCTTTCGCCCCCCCTCCTCCCCCTCCAGAGGCATGCATCAATGCGCATTCATATTTCCTCCCGTTATTCGTTCAGGATTATACAGAAAGGGCCAAGTTCGCGCACAGACCTTGTCGGAATTTTGAACACAGCATTACTTCCCATGGATGAGAATCTACTGAAGCAGAGAATCCAAACGTTTTGGCGTTTGGAAAGGAAAATCTCGAAACCACACCACTTAGCTCAGATCTGAAGCCCGTATAGACGGTCACCTTGGTTCCTGTCATTAGTTCTTTCCGTGCCTAAATAGTGCAGAGGTGTTTTGAAGTTGCGCGCAAATTAGATTCTGCGCGCCTGTCAGGACTAGAAACATCTTCCTTTATTGACCGTCAGCAGCTTCAGGAGAGCGTGCGTGAGGCGGGCTACATTTCACTGACGGCGGGTGGAAATGCTTCGTCATGGCAGTTGATGTTGTAGCTTCACATACATGTCTCGTATTTTCAGTGAAATATGGTTGGACGTATATGAGCTTAGAAAATTAATGCAAAGAAGGCATTTTATCTGAGCAACCATCTTCTGTCTGATGAAGATTTTGGAGGCGACCGTAAAGAGTCCCATTCGAAAGTCGGCATCTTGTGGTGACTAAAATATCATGTGATTATGCTACACAATATTCTCTTAATCCTTTCTAATCGAAAGCACATTTTGGAGGTTTGGTTGGCATTTCATGAGGCAGGTTTACTACATACATGTTTATACTGCCAGTCGCAATGCGACTACTTCTGGGGCTCTAAATCAGGCTCCCTTCTCCATTTAGGGAATTATTTTTATAGGGTTTCAAGATTAGTCCTATATGCAAACACGTCTTCTTCGTCTATTTTGGGGAGTGTACCAAGACTAGCGTCTTTATTCCTTGGGAATCCTGTAGCGCGGAACAAAGGCCGTTCGGATGACGGTAGGGAGTGCTTCAATGACAGTCCGGCAGAACAAGGGAAAGAGAAACCGCCCGTAATACAGGTGGTTTTGTGCTAAATCCCAGGGTTAAGGTGAATTTGTGGTTTGGATCAGGGTAAGTGTTTGGGTTAGGGTTAGTGCTACGCTACACGGGAACAGTTACCCCACCTGGAATTTTGCAGAGGGCCATCCGCATTACATCGGGGGTGTTCCTATTCGCATGTTCTGTTTGGGGTGGCATATAAACAATTCCGACCCTGAAGACTGGCCATCATAACTTTGGCGCTTGTCACCCCATACAGACGGGCGATTCTTGTTTATCGCAGCCAGAAATGACACTCTTGCAGCCCCTTGTTGCAAAAACAGACGCTCGCTTATCGGCGTGCCAGAATTGTTGGTGTATACTGACTAAAGAGAGCGATGCTTCCGGCCTTGTTGAACCTTTGCTTTTGCGAAGGTCCGTTCAGAAAATGAAAACACCTCGGAAGTGCATACCCCCATACAGTGACAGACACTGATAAATTATTTCCTTCCTACACTACGATCGAACCTGTGGGAGGGTGGATTAGTTGCGATTGTGGAAGTTTGGCGCACGCTGATGCACATACACCATCAACACTGACATTTAGGCAGTCGAATGGGTGCATTATTGCCGGATGTCGGCATGTATACGACCTCGCCCCTGGCATTTCTGCTTTAGCATTGGGCTGCGTTAACAGAGACCGAGGCTGGAAACTGTTTACTTGTCCTTCCCGGGGATCACCTGTCTCTGAACGACTTTTTTCGAATTGGGATGTCTAGTTGTGCTGTTGCGAAGTCAAACACGATGGCTAACCTATCTCATGAAATGTTAACCGAATTTCTAAAATGTGTTTCTAATTAGGAAGGATAACTTAAGTGGTTTTCTAATACTGGTTACCGTACAGCGAGACTCCGAGATAATATATACACATCAGGATGCCGTCTGTCGAGGGAGATTCTCTCCAGTCGTCTGAAAAATTGACGCAAGATATAAGAAAACGACTTGGACAGTGGGATTTTTTCCCACCGATTTTTGGTCCCTTTACTTCACATGCATTTTACGCCGAACCTACACACGGATATTCTTTTATGCAAACTCGTCGGCAAATTGCGTCCTCCTCAGATCATCTGCTTAAAAATTGTATCTATATGTCTCAAAGAAAACTTCTGATTGTCAAATAATTTTGCACCCAGTCTGCATTTGCGCTGACACCTAGGGTTTCCAAGCTACGTGCTGTACACTTTCAGTGTGAGGGAGACCACACATTATGCTAAAGAAAATACGTAGCATAAGGTAAACATAATTTTGCAATTAATGCTAACCATGTTGTTTTCCTCATACAGCGGAGTTAGCGAACGGACAGATACGATGCTCTGTGAGACGACATTTCGCAGTGTTGAAAAATCTCATGACTGCAAGCTTGTATAAACGGAAAGATACTGCCCCTGAAGCACAACTTTTGAAGAAGACGTAATTTGGTGCCGAACGAATATAAGGAAAATTTTTTGTAATAAGGCGCCGGGAAGATGTGGTTATCCAGTCCCAGCTGATGGACACAGTACTGTTGGGGTTGTGGTTAGGCGTTATGGTTAGGTGCTCGGGTTAGTTTTAGGGGTTAGGGTTGGGGGTCGAAGTAAAGGGTTAGGGTTAGAGGTTAGGGCAACTACCTCTCGACCCGTCAAAGTACAACCGCGCATTCTCAACAGCTTTCCTTTTGCATACAACTACTTGACCTCGTCGCCTGTACGTTCCTCGGCCTCGCCTGTAAGACTCTTATTACTACCGGTCCCGTGGTTGAGGTGGCTGGGGTTTGTTTACTTCGGGTGGGGCTACATAGCCACATCTGACCAAAGTGGTCTGTAAAATAAACTCGAAATGATTAGGTCAGAGAAAATCAGTGGGGAATGATCATGCTGCTTAATCGCCCATTTCTGTCGATGGTGGGTTTTTTAGGAGAAGGGAAAGAAGTTCATTCAGAGGCCACTATCCTGACATGACCGAAATATCATGGGATTATTCTGCGTAATCAGTAGTACAACAACCCTGCTTAAGTAATCCCTCCTTACCGAAAACACACCTCAGAACTTTCGTTATTTCATGTGACAGGCCAGCTACTGCACATTTAATCCGTTCGCAGCAATGAACCTTATGCTTCCATTTTGCCTTCTTTTGCAAAGATAATTAGTGTGGGATTTCGTCTACCGAATTCTAACCAGACTTACTTGGAAGCTACACCGCTGAAGTCGACAGGAAGTAAAAATAGTCACAGTTGGAGTTCCTTTTTTAAGAAAAACATCATGTTTAAATGCAGCTGAATAAACAAGGGAATGCAAAAGCTCTGCTGCAACTGACCAGACGACTTGAACTCCTAAGCATATGGATTGCATGCGGCACTGTCGGCACTGCGCTTAAAAAATACCTCTGGTCACACACGTTGCTTTCTGACAGAACAAAGCAACCGCACGTGGTTTTCTTCATGCCTCTGCCACTTTTAAAAGTGCAGTGATTCAGAAAGAAGGCCGCAGTCGTTGCGTACGATCTACAGAATGTAGAGACTGAAATCATTTTAGCCAAAAATTTATCGCCGAGCGATCAGCGAACTAGACGTTTCGAGCTCTTAGTCCGCATCAAAAGCAGTGTATCGCTGGCACGATATGTCCGTAAATAAACTTTCACATTATGGGCACTTAGTCATTAAACAGAACGTCTTTTAAACCGGCTGACTTTTCGTGAAAATTCAAAGCTCGAAGCCTTGGAGAGATCCAGTCCATATCAGCACAGTTTATAGGACCCGTTCGTATTCCATATGAAATTTCCCGTTCTCCTGTTACTCTAAAAAACACATTCGACCACGAAAGGGTGGCTGTCTGCCAAATCGCGATAATCTCTCGGGAAAGTACGCATCTGAAGGAAACTGAGGAGACAGCGTTAGTACCCAGCTCCAAACTGTGTACTACGTCGTCTGAGGTTATGATGCCAAAGATTTTCTATCTGTTTATTCTCGGGTAAGAATAAATTATATGATCGCGGTAGGTTAACTATCTATACCTGCCTACTATATTTACCAATATAGGCGTTGTTCGGTAGACTTTCAGGTCGGAATGCTGTCACGCACTTCGATGGCTCTATGCCCCCGAGGATAACATTCTTTGAACTAAACTGCCCCGAGCACGCAGTACAAACTCATCGTTCTGCTTCCCCTTCATATAATTCCTTAGTAAAAGACAAACACTTTGTTCGCGGTCGAGGGAATCCAAGAGGCGTATTCCTGTGCATATCGTAACCGTCCACAGCGCTGTCATGTCCGAGTACTTAACGGAGGACATTACGTCATGACCTGCTCTTTTACATCTGCGAGTACTGATTGATGGGTTTTTTATTTTTCTTTGAATGAAGAGATTGACTTCCGTTTACTATTTCACCACAGACGAAACCAGGGTAATTTTTGACTTATATCTCGATTTCCTTTCCAGGACTTCCTAGCTCCTCTTTGTGAGACCGCACCCTTATAACCCCTATTACCACCATTCCCCCTAAGACACGCTGCACCGAATACCATTTTCTGACCCCGGTCATATACTTTATCCTTGCCTATTCCTGTTCTGGAGGCTATGTAACTATACTCCTCTCTTAAACCGCACCTAAATGATTCGACAAATGAGTGTTTAGGCTTAAAAGACTTAGCAGTAGCACTCTTGACCTGAATAGACATTTTGATTTTGTTTCGTTCCAATGGATGATAACAATGCACATACTCAGAAAGATGTGAACATCAAAAATTCTGTCGGCCTTGCTTAGGAAGAAGAGACTGTGCTTTAACTCCGGAGCAGTTACATCATCAGCTGTTAAGAGCTGCATATATATTGTTTCGCAGACGCTTCATGCGAATCATTCCGTTTTCCATTGATCAATTGTCTTCTCCGTTTCCGTCCACTCCTTGCGGTTTGTTGCTTTCTATGCACTTAGATGATCGCATACAACAATCATGTCTTATCTACGTCGTTAAGGCACTTGTTCGCAATGCAGAATTACTTCCTCTGATATCTTCTACATCGAATCTCTCTAATTATTCAGCAAACGCATACTTAATACGGGGCTTTTGTTTGCAATCTAAGGCGCACTGGTGAGGAGTGTGAACATTTTAAGAGATTTTAAAGTTCGATGGTTCAAAGACAGCTCTGTATCTCTGTGTTCGATTTCGACGCTGAAGCGGTCTGTTGCTTGTACTGTGACAGACCCGTTATCTGTTAAATAAAATTCTAGACAGCATTAGGATGCAACTCTAACCTGAAGACCACGCCATCTTTGTTGACGTCAGCTATAATTTTTGCCTCCCCATTTCTATTGTTGATGCTATTTGACAGATCTCCTCTCTCGAAAGATATGTAAACTTTTTATCATAAGAGATCATTTTAAGAGTGAATTCCACTGTTTTACGCTGATTAGAGGATGAAATAGGGAAATTTCGTTCCCTTGCAAAGCAAACATGGACTGCCGTATTCCGCGTTACAATAAGAACACATTGGAAAACACAACTCCCAAATGACTTGAGATTGTCCCGGTGGCTGCCAGTAGGGGGTGGCCCCCTTGGCTCTACGTTCGACAGATAGGCAGAACGTTCAAGTTCAAGTGAGAAGTGTTTAATAACAAAGACGGGAACACTTGAATTGCCATTTCTGGTTTACACGCCGTCATAAGCCAATGATACCCCGGATTCCAGACTGCACGCCAGGGATTGGAGACCCGACTCAGTTGCTTATCGAGCAGCGCTCTTACCAGCCCAAGGTCATTTTAGTACTATAAATCCCGTACCAGCACCGACAGGAACAAAGAGGCATGTTTTGACTCATTTTGCATCATAAATGCAGGTGTGGGAAATTTTACTGAAAAACGCAAGTGGAAATGGCGAAACAGTTTATTTAGGACTTGCCTGAAAGTCCACGAGTACCACTGATGCGATTTCCATTCCCTCATGGCTACGACTAAATACACTTTTTTCTGCAAACGACGGGGATAAAATTCTACACCGAGAACGTTTTTTCCTTATAATTTGCACTGAGAGCTAATCATATTGACTCTCTACTGGGAGGGTGGGCTTTTCTCCCATTTGATGCATTTAAAGTGAGTAAGCTGTTTTGTCTCCTGCTGAATCAGGCATGAGACATACTGGTTAAACTTCCTGACTAAAAGATCGTCGTATACGCTGCGCGGCTTGGCATCTACTCTGCCCTACGCCTGGTCTCGCTACATCGCTTTGACTTCCCGCTTGAATGCTGACTCACTGCCTCGGTCCGCATGAGATTAACACTTTCACATTTGACGTAGAGCAGTTAATATACGATGTGAAGACAGCGACCTTGCGGTCTCTGTTCTGTGCATGTATCCCCACGCAGTGTTTTGTCTGTCAGCTTTTATTTACCTTTTTGTAATTCTTTCCCGTCCCACTAGCACGGAGTAAGGGTGAGTAACGCAAGGTAAACCGTAGATTGATAAATAGTCTTTAACATGCTTTACAATTTCATTTAATCCCCGCGCACGTAACAACCTCAAATTAGCTTTCTTCCATTTTTCCCTTTGATTTGCCAATTTCCTAGACCGATCAATCATGAGAAATTCGCCTTGGTGCAAACAGGACTGGCGTTTGATAAAAATGGCCGCGGAAAGGAATAATTTCTTCCCGCATCATGTGTCAGTATTATTTAATGACCTCGCAAGTAGTTGCTTAATGATATGTAACAGAGGTAGACAGGAAACCGGTGAAATCTGGAGAGAGCGGAGTAGCCATTTTCGACTCGGAGACCTCAGGGTTTGCTTCTACGTCGCAGGTTATCCAGGCATGGGCTAGTGAGTGGCCAGCTGACAATTGATGTCAAGACATAAATGGCCATTTCGACCTCCGTAGTCTTCGTCGGTATCCGTCTATTTGTAATATTTGTCACTGCCACTCGCGAGAGCTCATAATGGTGGTCCAAGGCAAACGGTAACAAGCATTTTCTTATCAATACAGAACAACTTCCTACACATAGACCAATGCAACAGTTTGACCGACCATTCCGACGATGTCCACCGTGTACCCTAAGGCAGGATGGACGCAGAGACGGCGACGTAGTTAGTGTATAGTGATACCACACTGTCGTAGCATCTACCACACTCGTGCCCGGTGTCAAGAAAGAGTCATGAAGACTGAAGATGAGAAAGGACGCAGATAGCTGGCGTGGCTGGAGTCGTCCCTAGGCGTGTCGCCACACCCGGCTCGATTCCGACGGATTTGGGGTGCCATATAGGCTACAATACGAAGGAGCCATTGCAGCCCGACTCTCGGTCCACCAATTCACCACTCCACTCAAGCACATACTCGGCTGACGTTGTGGTCCGAATTATCCCGTCATTTGGTAGTCTTCCGAGCCGCAACTTTTAGCCCACTGAGATGGCTTCATGCGCCTCAGATTGTCCATAGTAAGAAGGTGCGCCGAAACTCCGACCTCGCTCTTACTCCCAACCCCCGGGCAGCGGTCTATTCGACTCAGTCAGATATACAATGTTGGAAGTGGTCTCAGCGGCTGGGAGAGCCAGAGGACCCGTCTGCGCGCGCCACATGCACGACCCGGTCCTTAAACGGACGTCAGCATTGCACACACAGAAGGAATAGGTTGTTAAAATCCCACATACAACGGAGGAATCACACTAAAAAGTAGCCGCAGAGCACACTTTCCATTTTTAAATATACACAAATATTGAAGAGTCAGTTGGCGAACATATGTTTACGGTAACTAATCATCAGGCCCGTGCATTTACATGGGTAATGATTATCCTAATTGTAGACAGGGTATAAATACTTCTAGGGGCAGGGTGAATCGGACTCCATGTTCCCACGCCGGCTGCATGACGGACTCAGCGTGGTGAGGACGGTGTAGTTGGGGTGGGAGGGGGGAAGGAGAGGGGTTCCGGTTAGATTGTAAGCTCTGTAAGTGCGTGTGACTGTTCTCAGGGCGTCGGGATGGCGTGGTATAACCGCCTGGAGTCGGCCGGGACAGACACACTGCTTGTGTTAGCGTCTTCTGACAACAGAATGCTGGGTTTGCTAGTCGAATGGCCATCGCCTCGGCTGTGGTTAGCGCCCGTTTGTGCAGGCCTTTAGATGATGACGAGTTACCGAAAACATGTTCGCCAACTGACTCTTCAATCGTAATACGGGAATTTTCGCAGAACACATACAAATATATTTAGAAAGGAGGAATTCTTAGGGAAACAGCAAACTTTACTGAGTACATTTTCGAGACTGGTTCCCTAGCTCGTCTTCAGACTATGAGAGTGCAAAAACGATAAACTTCGAAACTGAGTTTGCAAAAGGATCCTATGATTGGCTAAAGTTTGAGCCAATGCGCGTTAAATGCAATTTGTCATATCCTGAGGATTGTTTAAGCTACTTTTAATTTTTCTTTAACGATTTTGTATGTGACATCTAGATCGATATGCCGGTGTATGCATGCCTCATCTGGAGTGCATGGCCTCCCGGAATTCGCGGCCCTTCCTTATTGGGCAGGCACCAATTATGCAGACGCTTAAGTCCAACTCCTAGATCTGATAACAAATTTTTCCTTCACCAAACCATGCAATCGACAATTAAAAGGCGTTCTATGGGTTCACCCATATCCGGTTTTCTGATTGAGCCCTTAGAGCAGAAATTAGAAACCACAGCTCTTCCCACAGTTAAACCAAAACTCTGGCAGCGATATGTAGATGGCACAGTTGTCATCGTCGAGAAAAATCCGTTAAATTTGCACCGTACCAATGTCAACTCTATATTTCCTGGAATCAAATTTAGTTTCAAAACAGCGGTTGATGGACAACTCACATTCCTGGATGTCCTTGTAAGTTGAAAAACCGATGGATCAGATTATACATCAGTTTATCCCACAGAGGCATATCCAGTGGCCATCCTACATTTCGATGGTAACCACCCTGTCTCTTACAAACGGAGGACAGTCTACAGCATTCCGAATCGAGCTGAAACTCACTGCTCTGATGAAACGCGTTATCAAGCAGAAAATAACTACCCCTACATATTATTCTCCCAAAATAGGTACCCGCATAATTTAATACATCAACGCACAATGCACCAGAAATTCTAGGGAAAAGGTGTTTTAATGTTACGGCGGCTCAGGCACAAAAACCGACCACCTGGCGAACTCTTCCGTAGGTGAGAAATGTACTTGAACTGGTCGAAGGACAACTCAAAAAACACCAGATACACGTAGCGCACCAATCGGCAACTATCTTACGCACACAGCTTGTACACCCTAGGGACAGGGTTGGCTACCTCGAAAGAAAATGTATTGTCTACGAAATCCCATGTTTCACTTGTGATGCCGTCAATTGTGCCCGGATTGATAAATCTGTCACAGCACGTATTTATGAACATCAGTTAGAGGTAAAGAGACGCGACCATCTATCCCAGGTGGCCATGCACACACTGGACACTCGACAGAATTTGCATGAGAGAATACTCACATTATGGGCGCCTGCCCAATAAGGAAGGGCCTCGAATTCCGGAAGGCCATGCACTCAGATGAGGCATGCATATACCAGCATATCGATCAGACGTCACATACAAAATCGTTAAAGAAAAATTCAAAGTAGCCTAACTAATCCTCAGGAGATGACAAACTCAGTTTAGAAGTTTATTGTTTTTGCACTCCCATAGACTGAGGACGTGCTGGGGCACCAGTCTCAAAAATTACACAGTAAAGTTTACTGCTTCCCAAAGAATTTTATCCTACTAGTTAAAGTTCTTAGGCGGCCCATTTTTCAGTACATATATATGCATACGTACACATGTATTGGGAAACGGACATCCCAAGAAGTTTACTTAGAAGTAGGTTGTCTTCTTTGGAGCCAAAATAATCCCTATTGCCTAGATTTTGCAAACTGAACCCTCAACTCATCGTCAGATTTTCGGGTTATGTAAAAAAACTGTTCACTATTTTACCGTGTCTACTAAGCGATTCTGCGGTCGGCCAAAATATACGCTTAATAAGTCTCCGTTGAGTACTTTGCGCTTTCCACTTTTCGGTCCGATTCGCTCTGAAATATCTTTCCTCTGGACGAGACTATTATTGCTAAAGCTCTTTGGCATTCACATTGCAACTTTGCCTCCCTTTATTGCGTTAACCAGCCTTATTAGCGTCTACAGTTGTAGTTTCAAAAGGCTGCCAATGGCGTTTTAGGGGTGGTCTATACGAGGGACGGTGACCAGCTTGTTGCAAGCCTTCTGAGGCGATTTCCTCTGAACCAACGCAAATGCTGTACATAGCATGTTTTGTGTCATTTGACCCCATAGACCGAAGCAGAAGGTGAAGCTGACATTGCCTAACTCATTTTCCATGCACATCACTTAACACGAAGTTCTCATCGGGCCCTTATAGAGGAAAATGGACGAGATGTTACGTAAGCGGAGAGACGATATGTGCATTTGTTTCAGAACACCTTTTTCATCAAACAGGCAAAAACAAAATGAATACTCACGAATTAAGGCGGAATTTCGAGTTCCGAGTGTATGCACAAGTGAAGAAAAAGAAGAGGATTCGAGCACGGGAACACTTTGTTTACTGTCCTGAGCTTTGGGGCTCGTGCAGGAGTCCATTGTCAGAGAGTAGCAGCAAGAGTGCAAGCAACAGTTATGGAGTCATGAAAATTAAAGACCGGGTAAAACCTGAAGAGCAGTCTGGAGTGGTGCATCGCATTCCGTGTCAAAACTGTCCTTGTAACTACACAGGAGAGACTGGACACATGCTGGGATCGCGCATACACGAGCATAAGCTGGCTGTGCGACGAGGCAACGCATCATCGCAAGTGGCCGCCCACACCCACGAAATGGGTCACGAGTTTAACTTCGCAGCCATTAAAATAGTCCTCCACGCCGGAAGCAAAACAGGCCGAGAATTTACTGAAGCCTGGACCTCAGATAGGAACTCATTTAATCGATTTATCGATCTGGCGCCGGCTTATAGAGCCCTGCGCAGTCACCTCTAGTCTTGCGTCGGCGTTTGATGATTGGCCTACATGCCCTATAACTGACGCTTGTTCTGTTGCTGTTACTATCTCTGACAATGGACTCCTGCTCGAGTCTGAAAGCTCAGGGCAATAAACGAAGTGTTCCTGTGCTCGAATCCTCTTCTTCCTCACTTAAAAATAAATACTGCGACTGTCCTGATAAGAGGATCGGATACCACGTGAGCCCGTAAGCAAAACAAGCGGATCCCGTAATTCTAGATGACGATTCACATGTTGTCGAGGCGTCGGCTGATTGGTTCGCTTGTTTAAAATTTGTCAGGTCTAAAACAAACAGTGCTCTAAACAACTAGACTTGATCCAGACGTGCACTGTCTCATAATGCTACCAAGGAAAACGACTACGCAGACACAAAGAAGCAGTAGATGTCGTTCGCGTGTAAGTGAGGTTTCAATAACATATGAGTTTCGTAATGCTTATCAATAACATATTTTTTGTCCATAATGCTAATAGATTTGTTCATATTAAACACAGGCTTTGCGCTTTTGCTTAGGCTTACATCTGTTTAAAGTTTAAATAGAAGAAACTTGTTTTCGTTGGCAAAAAGATCGAAAATAAATTTCCCTTTCTAACTCGAACAATGGCTCGATATTTCACGAAAACCAGAGAGAATCCGCGTGCTTTCATTTAAAAGTATTTCTCTGTACTTGTTAGGAATAATCACCAACACTTCCTAATTGTTTCTTAAATGCCGTTTACGGGAGACGCCGAGCCCCCTGTAGTACTTATTAAAATTCTCAAATTTATTTTCATTTAGCGCATTAGTTATCAGGCGAGACTAAAAGACCGGCACATCAGCAAAATAATATCGCCTGTTTCTGTTAAATTTCTACTAAGCATCCTTCCACTTAACTGTGGCGATGTTTGTAGAGGAAATAAGATTTTGTGTTTCGTTCTTGGATAGATAAATTACATCTAAATATAATAATTTTGTCGAACATATTGGCTAAATGCTCCGATTTCGGTTTTTCTTATGTTGGGCTTGTGTCGTCATCAGGTTTGGCATCTGAATACGTGAACTATTCCGCTTTTCGTGTGGGCACTCATGCTCTATATTTTTCAAACGAACCTTTTGTCTTTGCACGCCTAGTTTTTGCCAAAGTTTTACAGTGCACTTTGTCAGAAACGGATTTCTTAGCTCCTACCATGCAGTAGCAATTGCGTTATCTTGCATTGTTTAAATCAGTATAATTTACTTTGGGCGCGCCTTCTGCTTTATAAGCAATTCAAAAACGTTTGCATATCAAAATATATGTGCATTCAAGCACATATATCACAGAAACTGGATTTAATGCTTTTGCAACTGGAATAAACCATTTTGAAATTTAGGTAGAATGACGTTACTGAAAAAGACAATGGGTACTGAGACGACCACTTCTGGCTTATTAGCCGTCGTCAGCCAGAGATACCGAACCCCGAGGTGGGTAACACTTGGGGCTCGACCCTGCGACCTATTAGTTAGAAACCGAACGCCCCTAATCACCTAGCTACGGGCTCGTTATGCTGTCAGTTTCGATATTCAAAACCCGATATTTATATGTTCAATTATTTACTATAAAAACACAAAAATTACAGGCTTCTAAATGTTTTTTAAGGAGGCTACTCAGTGTTTTATAAATATTCGAAGTCGGTCGAAATTACAGTACTGTAGTGGCGATTTGGCCGGTGGAATCATCGTAAAGGGCTGCGGAATCTTCCAAAAAAACGAACTCGTGGCAGATTACTCATTAATCTCACCCGAAAGTTCAAGTTTGTCAGTATGTCAACCTTAGGTGACGTCTTGAAGGACTTCAAATAACACTCCATAACTTATGCACCTTCGCATATAGAAGTTCTTTTGCGCACTGTGGTAAAATGCTTCAGGGGTTTCTACCTCCCCGACATTAGGTGAAAGTCGTTCGAAGAACTTAATTAACGAGTTAATTTAAAATTTCCTACGAAAAGACCGCTCTGGAGTCCTTGCCACGTGCACTTGTCATTCTTTGTATTGATCAACTTGAGAATAATCATAATAAAAACACGTCTTGCATAAAGCATAATTTTTGTTAAATATTATTTTGTACTGCCTCTCATACCTGCTGTCATAGACCATTAAAACGCCATTAGATGAAAAGTACAACATCCAATGTTAGCGAAATTCGACACAACAAGATGCTATGCCTGACCTTGCGTTCCACTAATGTTTTAAAAAACTGAGCTCAATGTAGACTTCAGTAAATACTAAATATAACATTGTTCTTCCGCAAATCAATTTGGGCGGTAAATCGTCCATCCCCTGCTTCCACCGTGAAAAGCTTACGTCCCCGATTGCCTTGTTGAGAGAAAGAATATACTCAACTGCATAACACTACATATGTTAATGGAACAATAAGACCATTCAGTCAAAGAAGACAATTTATCAATGCAAAATGTGTCAATAACTATTATATGGTCAAGGAAACTGTTTCTTGGTCCATATATTATTTCATGTTTGCACATGGAGGTCTCCATATAAAACCTTGCCTTCTCGAACGCTTTTGCACCTGTTAGCTGTGATCAAAGATGCCTAATAAGTGTTCTTTCTTCAACAAAATCAGCCTCTGGACGACTTTGACCTGGACAACTGGGACAACTTTGGTGGCCTGACTGGCTTTGGAAACGACGCTGGCGGATCCATGATCGACCAAATGGAACGCAGAATGCAGGCCATGCGTCAGAAGATGGACAGTTCTATGCGCATGATGGGCGCGCCCCCCGGTCAGTTTCCAGCCGGCTCGCACAGTGTGTCCTCACATTTCTCCAGTTCATCTACCAGAACAATTAACGACGGCGGTGTGGTGACGCAGTCCAAATCCACTAGCCAAGAATCCCGTCAGACTGTTGACGGGGTCTCCACGGGGTCCAAGAGCCACTCCTCGAGCACCACCACCAATGTGGCGGGTGCTGGTGCCCCAGAGTTGCTAACGGACAGACCGTTGGGCTCAGGAGCTATTGTGCCGTCCCAATCGGGTACAATGGGTGGCGTGATGGACTTCCTGACAGACGCTTTTGAGGTTGGAGATGACGGACTTGTAAGTTGTCTTTACCTCTTCACATTTCTTAACAGCGATTTGAAGCGCGATTTGCAAATGCAATCAGTTTGCACAACTGGTAGGTCTGACTGCAGTATGTCAGAAGTAGGGAACCGAGTGACATTTCGGGTCGGGCTCATGATGCTGCAGATGTTGTTAGATCGGGAGTTCCCTGTCCGCTATAGTACCAAGTTTTCCTTTGTTGAGTACTATGCAACTAGTGGTTTCACTTTTGTGGGCCCCAGAAACCTGTAAGTTATCATACCTTGCAATCCAATTGGGGGCAAAATAGGTTTCATACGTTTATTTCTTGGCCAAACCGGCCTCTAAGTGCGAAATTAGTTTAAATTCAGAATTATGACATTTAATTTTCGTGGTTTGTAAAGTTCTTGTCGCTTTTTAATGTCCTCAGAGATTATCTACGAAGTTGGAGTAGATCAATTCATTCAAGGTCTATAGGCTCAGACCGGGAATTTGATATATTAATATTTGTGCCAAATCCCATCAACCACAGCGGGTAACCACGTAATATTTATTAACTGTCGACAGACAGTTAGCAGTATACTTTAGGGTAAGAGGATACCATACGGACAGCACAGGTACTAGTCAAAAGCCCATACACGCGTGTTTCGCCGATATTCTGCCGCTGCATGGCGCAGCCGCGAGGGGTTCGGCTCGTCAGTGGGTCTCCCAGCATACCCCATGTGTTTTCTGGTAGATATTCCAATTTAGAAATTGAAGTTCTTTTACTTAATGTCGTAAATTACTTGCGTCATTATAGCTAATCGAATAGTTGTGCCCGATATAGAAAAGGCAGTTTATACAAGAATGAGCCTTCAAATGGTTGTCCTATTACAGCGTATGCTCATAGCAGCTAATTGGGAGAGCACGTTTGTCTACGCTAAATTAGAAATTTAGTGGCTTCCTCAAAGTTTTCTAGAACACGTGTAAACCAAATTTATTCCTCCTTCTGAAAGTTTTCTTAAGTGAGATCAAAGTTGCAAAAATCGTTTTTCGATAATTAAGCAGCTGTGAAAGGCTCTATTAAACGGCCGAAGGTATCCTCACGGTAGTACCCTCGTACGGTTTCAATCTGTAACTTCAGTTTCAATGACACAGTTTGCAAGAAATCCGATTTATCCGATTCCATAAGAATATACTGCTCCTGCCTATGGTTTCGAAGAGCAGTTGCATTTACCTCGCTGAATTTAGCATAGCTAAGATTGTGTAAATAGTTAAGATCAAGGCAGTATGACCAACGATTTGTCATACGTTTTTCGACACAAAAAATGACTCACAGTTCGTTTCTAGGAGGCATGCATTCTCCTTCAAAGAACAAGAAAGATGAGAAGCCTTTTTCGCTTCAAACTCAGTGATGGATTTGGAATAGAGAAAAACGAGGCTGTTTTTGATGTGCTGCATATGTGACAGTTGGTTTATGTAGTAAATTTGAAGGAGGTTAAATTCGTAACAAGATACGAATGCTTTCTGCTGAAGTGAGAAATCCTCTCGAGGGCTTCACCTTCCTCAAATACGTCGAGGAGTACTTAGAAAATGGCGGCATTCATTAAAGCTACGAAATAAAGTGAAAAACACATACCCACCTGGCAAACTACGAAGACCACTACTTAGGAATGAATAGTGAATAAAAAATAAAAGCCTTATTTCAATAGCTGCCCTAATAACAGTGGAAAGCCCTTTCGCCACCTTTAAAACATCGGTGACACTTCACCGGAGAAGTACGCAACGGTTCCTAGACAGTATTCCGCGGTCACCTATTCTTTTTTTGTCCCGAAGAAAATCCAGCGAATGGGCTTCGACACGAAGGTTTGGAGAGAGAAAACGGACATCCCAAAAGGTAATGGAAGTGGCAAACCCAAACTGCCCGGCTTGGAAAATTTTAGGGTGGATAAGGGACATTCGAAAAGGTTACAATGTAATGGGAACGATTGGGAAACCGTACATGCAACTGAGAACCGTGTCTCGTCACGATGACTGCCTGAGAAAATTTCTGCAAAAAGCGTGAAATAATGTGTGTATAGCACGTAAAATTTATGTCACTTCAAGTCTGCTTTCATAAATGATATGCAGCCGCTATATCTCAGCTCGCCTCCTTCGGTGGGGTTTACTTGCGGAAACGTTTGAGGATCGCGCTATATGGTGATGATTAACCCCACAGATTTGAGTAAGGAGCCAAAAAACTTGAGCATCAGAAAGACGCTATTTTTTCTAAACTGTCTCTTTTATTCATATCTCGCTCAATCCTAAAAGGCCTTCCTGATAGAATAGGGAAAATGCGTAACATAACGGTCGGCTTAAAAGTGCAATTGGGGGCAATAATGATTGAGATTTCTGTAGAAAAACGCTGTGATCGGTGGCCCCGGCAGTGGGACCCCTTGCGCGTTGTTTATGAATGCCCGTTGATTATAAGGCTGAACAAAGTGGCTGACTAAGGAAAGGACTTTACTATGCAGATATTTTTACACAGAGTGTGCGCGCGCAATCACCCAGTAAAAATAATCTGCGTGCAGATTTTAGCACAACCCAGGGGGCGAGTGAGGGAAACCGAGTGCAGGTTGTTATATTTGCACGCTCTGCCACTTTGTGAAGACGGAATTCACTCGTCCCGTTGTGTCTTACGGGCTCTCTATCTCCAGCCCAACCAACACCCGCACAGGGGCGCATGTTATAGACAGAATGTTATTACCGACACAGACAAGGGAGACTGGACTGGGTCGCAGGATCGAGCCCCAGGTGTTTCACACTTCGGGATTGGTTATGACTGGCTGACGACGGCTTATAAGCCAGAAATGACCTTTCCTGTCTCCCTTGTCTTTGTCGGTAATAACATACAGCCTATGTATCATGCGCCGCTGTGCGGCTGCTGGTTGGGCTCGAGAGAGAGAGAGATCCCGTAAGGCACGGCGGAACGAGTAAGTTCCGTAAGAACGATCGGTGAGCGTCCTCTACCTTACAAAACCTTTCCCTATAATTGGAAAATTTCCCGCACAGTATCCTACAGTGTTCCACACTTCGGACTTAGTTATGACTGGCTGGTGACGGCTAATAAGTCAGAAATGGCCATTCCAGTCTGCGTTGTCTTTTTCAGTAATACCATTCTGCTGAGACTTCCTCGTTAGAATAGCGTGACCCAGGGTACGCAGGCCCAGCATTCGTGAAGGCGCATTTCCACTAGGCAACGGTTCACCGTAGTCTTCATGGGTCTGAAAGACATCGTACAAGGAGGAAAACCGCATACTGCTCATGTGAGCAATTTCGATCCGAAGCATTAGCTAAGCAGTCTTGCTTGACGAGTTACGAATGTAACTCACGGTGCATAAGAAAGTCAAGCACTCTGAGCGCAGCAGTCGTGGTAAGGAGAATAGATGGCCTAATTTGCGCAGGCGTCGGAGGACTGTTTCTTTACCGCCAGTCAAACGATGACTAATAGGTTGACTCACCAGTAATAATCATGGGAATTCATTAAAATGTTCGTGCACACCACTTTGGCGTGACTGTGCACCATCAGCACTACGGCTGCCCTCGTTTCTCTACGTGGGAAACAAGGCCTCCACACCAGCGTCCGGGAGATCAGTTTTACAAGATGCCAAGTCATGGTAGCAACTGCAAAGAGCACGTCGCAACACCCAGTTACCTTGCCTGAAGAAGAGTCTAGCGCCGTCTGTGTGTACTTGAGGGCAACCTCGCATAATGCCCCTCCTTGACTGATGTCAAAATGTACTAATGAAAGAGTCAACTCGGTGTGTACCCCAGTCACGCTGATGCGGCTTTGTCATTTCGTCTTTAACAGTTTATTTTTGGGCCAAATAACTATTCGTCCGTAGGCGTTCAAAGAAAATTACAATGCAGACGGATTCGTCAGTCGATGCTTTTAAAGGGACGAGAGTTTTGGTGCAAAAATCAGCAGGTCCTGACAAACCACTTCACACGTTACGAGCCTTGTTTCAACCGTCACTCATCTTCCAATTTGATTGGATAGCTTCCCGGTCAACAGCATGACGCACCGAGACTCGTTTATTGTACTTTTCGTGCCTAAGCGTAATGCTAGTATGACGAAGGAACGTGGTGATGATTCAGCCTGCAGAATGTCGGACGCGATGACGCGAAGTCCCAACACGCAACTTACTTCGGACGACCGGACCATGACTGCAGGTTGGGTTTTTCTGATATTCTCATGGAGAACAAAAATCAAGCAATCCAAGACCTGCTTGAACAGAGGTTCCCCAGCTCGGGTTCAGTCAAATGACTCAATGATTTCCTGGCCTTGCGTCTCTAGCAGGCAGAGGTAGTGTATTAAGTGAGGGAACAGTAGGGCACATATGAGAGCCGCTCTCCTTCTCCTCCCCACCTGGGCCCGGTGTCATGACAGAACCAAGAAAACCGGAGGCGAGAGAGGATGCAGGTGGCTGGCACAGCAAAAAACCCGCAACTAAGCGCGTGCCATCCCATCCCTGATCCAGAACGAACATTGACCAGAATTTTACACAACAGGAAAAAAAGAGCCGGCTCGGATCTCGATTGACGCGTCGTGAGCCTGCCTCTGGGAGTGCCGACAAGCCCCTAATTTTTATATATGTCATGGGTGCTCATTCACAATAACGCCTAACGGAAACCTATCTAACCCCCCTGTCGGTCCAACGCATCTACCATGCGGCTAATTCTAAAGGCAAACAATCGACCCAACAATGCAGGAAACGCAGAATTATTGGTTCCCCAAGGTGGCACAACTGCTATGGCCAAATGGCCCTATATACCCACAAACGCTAGACAATTGCTGAGGCGTTTCCACGCGATTTACCGCACACGCCTATTGCATGACTGATCCACTAGGTCAGACCGGGCTCAGTCCAAGCAACGTGATAAAGTTAACGCTTACCGTCGACAGTTTCTTATGAAAAGCATGTGTGAATACACACCGACATGACTCCCAAAATAACTACCACGTTGACCCAAGCTGTCTAGTCTTTATGAGACATTTGGTTGTTGCGGTCACTCGGCTTCATTTACAAAGACGGTAAGTCTGCTAATCGATCGCCCCAGAGATTATGTCTACTTGCAGCTGGGGACCAGATACTGCCACCTAAGCCCGCGCTCTATCAAAACTGCTGCCACACTCTAGCTTGCTACAAGACCAGAGGGTTCATGTGAGCTTGTACAAAAACAAACTTGTCTGACCCAACGAAAAGGGGTCTCTTACCTCATCCGAACGCCCCCGCATGACGCGCCACCGCAGTTACTCGTCTGGAACGGAAGCCAAAGGGGCAGTTTTAGAGTCTTATAATGCGCTAAAACTGAGGAATCATGAGTTAAATTCTTCAATACGCTTTCAGCTGGAAATATTTACATTAAGCCGACTAACAGGTAATACAGCGTCTAATAATTCCTTCCTGGCAGCATGCAGTCTTTTCAATGAGTAATATGTGCAACTTACATTTGAGGACAAAATCACTCCTCGGGTAATGTACTTTTTTGAAAAGTTTCATGTGTTTATAAATATGATCGTTTTTTTTCTAAAAAAAGTGCACGAATACTAAAAGTATTGTGGAAGTTTTATGGAAAATGACATCTTCCTCAACTTTCTTACTCGAATGACGGGAGCATTTCAGGTTTAAAAATTTTCAAGACCGCCTTTATAATTTGGATCACATGCTGACTTTCATTTTCTCCTTGAGATTTCCAAACTAAACGACATGGACCCTCTGAAGTATGTCTGTATACTTCACTGTACATCAATTGCTGCTTATGTTAACAAACCTGCGAAATTAGGCAACATGGAGACGCCCTCTGCGTCTTTAGAATCCCCATACTTAAAAATTAGCTTAAAGAATGAAATAGTCCCTTGTTTCAAACACGCGACTTGGAAAGGACGGGATTTCCTACAAAAAGGGTATACTTTTGAAGACATCTTGCATCGTATCTATATCAACGTGGTGGGATCAATGTAAGCATAACAAGTCCATGAAGAGCACTCCAAAGAGGGGCAAGTGGCGATCCTCGGTATTTTTCTCTTGTGTCTGAGTCCTCGAACGACGTCTGCGGCCTGCTTTACACCCTCAGCAGAGATTGGCGGGTTCAGGACGGGGACGATTGATCCACCCGTCTCCTCCTTTCCCTCCCCTCGGTCGCGAAAAGGCAGCGAACCGTACAGAGGTGGAAGCGCGTTGACGGAAACCGACACACAACACCGATGCGCCCGATTCGTCTATCTCGGTAGCGTACGTCGTTCGAAAATGCAGTCAGAAAATAAAAGCATCCTGGTTGACCGCCCCCCCCCATTCCTTTTCAACCATGCCGCCCGAGCCTCGGGTGTTTACCATCACCAGCGAAAACGTCCCCCACTTAGGTTGTTTTTCTGTTCCGAGGGTGATATACAGGGGAATGTGAAGTTGTGTTCATGAAAAATCCTACGGTTATGTTCCCAGTTAATCCATTTCTCAACATCGCATAAGGGCTTTTACACGCCTATTTATAAGAAGTTTGCGGTTCGTGAGTTTTAGCACTTCCCGTCAAATTCTCCTCTTTGCTGGCTGGTAGAAACTGTGACGTAATCTTAGTTTGCAATTTCTGGGATGTTATTACAAGGAGACGAGTTAGATTTGCTGATGTTTTTCGGAACCCGTTCTGAGAGATGCTTGCACATGAACTCACCCTGGCGCAGCCTCTAGAGAAAAGAGGTCTTATATCCCACACTGCCCATACCGGACCAAACGTTTGCCGACGTTTGTGGGCGCGTTCTGGATACTGAATTAGCCTTCTACAGTACCAACAAGACAGATACCTTAGAAAGAGAACTTTTTTGGGCTTGGGTTGGGACATAAGCAATGGTAGGGAGATTTTCATTGCCTCCCACGCGCTATTACACTTCTTGAAAAGTCAAGTTGACAAACATGTGTTTTCGGTAACTCTTCGTCAGGCCAATACAGTTACATGAAGGAATGAAAATGCACAAAATCGACAGTGTTTATAGGTGTCTCAAGGGCTATTAAGTCATTAATACCCATCTTTCCCACGCCGCCCCCATGACAAGGTCGACGGGTTTTGGTCCTCAAAGCTAGGGAAGGGGGTAAAAGAGTCTTTGAGTGATGTTCTTGGATTGAGTACACGGAGAACCCATCACTGTGATTAGAGATTTGGGGCGGAATGTCATCATCACTTGCGGTTGGCGTTGGCCATGGCAGAGAGAGCGCTTGCGTCAGGGTTTTCTGACAGCATAGCACCGGATTTGCTAGTCGTATGACCACTGCCTCGGCTGTTGCTAGTATCCGTTGGCGTAGGCCTTTAGGCAAGCATGTTGGTGTTCGATAGACAACCTGAAATGTTTCTCTTTAAATTGCTACATATGATCGAGGATTTGCACAGACGCAGTGCGACTGTCAGTCTGCCACTTCACGCTTTATTGTTCATTGTCCCTAGGTTCATTTCAAAGTGCGCTTCGATGCCAAGGACTTTGCCCCCGAAGATATTGACGTGACCACCGTGGGCAATCGACTGACCGTTCATGCCAAGAAGACCATCACCACTGCAGGCTCCAGCACCAGTCGTGAATTCAGCCGCACTGTTGATCTGCCACGCTCCATTGACCACGAGAAGTTCCAATGCAATCTCACACAGGTCAGTGCGAGGATTCAGCCTCCATATTTCGGGCCCTCACGCTTTGTAAGAAAGCTTTAAGTGCGCCGAGGGCTGATGGTTTTCTGCAAGTTGGCCGGGAATTCCAGGTTTGTGTTCTCTGGATGGATCGTTTATAAGTAAAAAAATACTAAGGATTACCCCAAGCAAGCAGTTAGAAGTTGGCCCGAGTTTTCGAAAGAAACCACCTCTGTCAGAGAGACTACTCAGAGAGACTACTCACACGCACAACTTTTCACTGCTGCCTTTCTAGGCCCGCTCGGCAAGACCAAACCGCGGAGGAGTTCGGCTGGTTTGCCTTGGGTCTGGATGGTAAAATTAGCCCAGTCCCTCCTGAGGTGGCTTTACCTTACCAAAGGAACGCGTAGATGCAAACAATGTCTTTCTGTTTCCACTGCAATGAGAATAACGTTTCAAATTCTAAAAAATCATGTTTGAATGATGGAGTCTGATGAAGGCCTTGGAGATAGCAGCCCTCAGCTGCGAGCCTGTTTTATTTACTTTGAGGAATCTTTTTTTAGAATTTTTCATTCCTCTTCTGATAAGATTTGAGAACTTCTTCCAGAGGTTTACATTTTGCTCCTAGTTACTGTGGGATTGTCATGTCAGAAAGTCCGTAGCTCATGTAGATTTAAGTGGTATGCACCCATATGCGTGCTCAGCAATTCAGTCCGCTTCTACGTGGGAGTTTTTCTCCATTCTCACTAATTTTCTCAAAAATTTGCGAGAAGTGGGGAGATTTAGGTGTATTTTTAGAAGCGCGTAGCCAGCCAGACGTGGTCGTGAAGTTTGGTGTTCTGAACAATTGACTTCTCCCTGTTATTCCAATCGAGTGGCTGACTAGACGACTAAAATAACTGTGTATCACATACCGATATCACATTAGTTAAGAGTCTCTATTATGCTTTGGTGCGTACAAGAGGCACACACTGTTGTGGCTGACGGTGATATTCATCCAAGCGATCAATATAGGACTGAAAAAACCACTGTGTCAATTTTCTGAATTTCCGTATCTTACTTAACAGGATGGAGTTCTTATCCTTGACGCTCCGGTCAAAGCACCCGACTACTCTTCTATCACGTTCGATTCCGGACACAACCTGAGTATACGACCCAAAGACTCCAGTGTTCTCAAAAGCACGGATGCGAGCCTTTCCATCCGAGGTAGCTATGTTTTTTGCTTCTGATGCAAGACTTTGTTGGGTTTTCCACACCAAATGCACCTTTTTGCTGACGTTGGATGTGCTTTCGTTTTCAAGGTCAATCGGGACCGCTCGTGCTAAACGACGGTGCTGGAGGACGCAAGCTTCATCTCGAGGTGCCAATCGATGAAGGCTACGCCGCTGAAGACCTCAGCGTGCGGATGGAGGCCAACAAGATCATAGTTTCTGGCAAGCGTGAGTCGAACGCCGACAAGAGTGTAGACTCCAGCACCTCCAAGTCTGCTTATAAGAGCTCGCAATTCCAGGAATTTACACGCACCTTCGAGGTGCCTGAGACTATCGACCCGTTCACGGTGTCTGCGGTTCTCAATGGCAAAACTCTTGTCGTAGAGGCCCCTCTTCACTGCACTGTTTGAATTTGACTATCAAACCCTTCAGGACAGCCGCTGTCTGCTATCATCGCCCTTCCCTTACCCCCCCCCCCCCATGCTCCCACAAATCGCCTTTTTCATCTCCCCGTGTTCATTTAAAACAGGAGCACCCGCGCTATCTCAATTACGTGCATACAGAAGGACTGGCTCGCATGGACGTCACTGACACCCAGTCTCACCCAGCGCGCATTACGAAGACCAGCTTGCTTACATCTGTTCCACTTCTTATCCTTCCGCAATAGCTTTGCCACAGTGTTTCAGTCACTAGCAACATTGCATCCTCATCTTGCATGTCAAACACGCGGCCAACTGACCATATGCGTGCAAAAAAGACAAGCTGCCCTTCCTCAGCTCGAATTATTGGTCAGACAGGCAAAATTGATCCGGGCAGCTGGGGGCCAGTAGTGAGAAGACAAATGAACCATCCACCTGTGATTCTAGTCCAACTGTGCCAAATCGTACTTCCTACCTGGCTGGGTCTCTTTGAATTGTAGGATGATGAGGAAATCAGTATATCACCGAGTCTCTGAGTCACAAAAAGAGCGTATTTTTCGAGCACGTAATCTGACCATATAAGGACCCCTAACTGCTCTAGATGTGGTACTGGAAACAGCTTTTTCGAATGACTGACAGTTGGGGCTACCTCTGTCAGTAGTGGGTGTGCGTGTGTGTTCCTCACTCCAGTACTCGCGAAGTTTTACTCGTGAAGCAATTCGGTAACTTGTTGTGTTGGTTTTAGAATGTCCTAAACACAAATAGTAGGATGAGTCAGGACTTTTAACAATAACTCTATTGAGTACGCCAATTGGCATATTTTGAGCCAAAGGGTTATTCGGAACAGGTTATGGGTGATACATGTAGGCACACTGAAGGTATTTTCGTTTACTGTTGGTCTGGCTTTTAAGAAACAGGTGTTGCCCATTTTTGATTGGTGGGGGGCCGTTTAATGTTCATTTCAGTTGACATTCCTAGGAGTACCTGTCAGAGACATTCTGAGAAATAACTGATTCTCTCTCTCCATGAGCGTTTTCGTGGACAGATACTGTGCGGGAAATTTTCCAATTATAGAGAAAGGTTTTGTATGTTACATTGACTCTTATGCGCATCAGAATAATCCAACATTGTTCGGTTGCGACCATGGGAATTCTTAATACCATATGCCTAAGGAAGCGCTCTGCCCTGCTAGGATCTTATGTTCCGAATTTTGCGAACCATCACTTGGCTAAAGTATGATGTCTTTAGTGTTTCTGGATGATCGCTTCCAGTTGGCTCCTGGAGACTGTGATTCATCGTTTTATGCGTAAATTACTGATCCACTGCTCGTAGATAGGGCCCTCAAGTTTTCGGTCGATTTTTGAGATGCTTAACGGACCCACTTCTTCGTAAAAATAAAACTGGCCCTATAGAGGGACTTCACGACTAATGAGTACGTATATAAGTATGACCTTCTGGGGCTTTTAAGAATATATGTCTAAGGTGTTCCTTACAACACCATTTTTGGCAACACTTGAAGGAGTGGTTTTGGATAGAGGGTCCCTTGGCGGTGCCTGATTTTAATGTATACGCCATTTTGCCGAAAGAATACTTTAGACTGACTCTTTGGTCTAACTCGGTGTGTTTTAACGAGAGGCAGGCCATTGCACTTCTTATAACATATTCACTAATCGCACTTGTTGTTGGACGTGGTTGTCAATAAAATGTCTTCCCCTTGTTCCAAGCTAGAGTTTTATTTCATCTTCATATCTCAAAAGCCTGATCGGGTTGTCAATGAGCCGATTTTGACGTGACTGGGGTTCTTGCGAATCTCGGTTATTCGCCCATGGGCTTCCGCTCGAAAATGCTTCTGCTTTCTGTCAGTTTTTCCTTGTGCGCCAGAATGCGCAGAAAAGCGTTCGCTGAACGCAATGATTAGCCTTCTCTCCAAAAATAAATGCTGTAGAATATCTAAAAGTAAGCTGATTGACATACCATGAATGTCATCTTTAGTTTAAATATTTGGCCTGATTCCTTCGTCTGGTCTCCTGCGTGTCTAGTTACCTCCACTGAATGCACTGAATGAACGCTAATTTAGATAGGTAACATCTCCACCAACTGTTGAGCAAGCATCCTAAAACTTTCATAGATTTATCACTTAACCTATCGGTGACCAGTTTCGCCGATTGAATTCAGGAGCACGTGCGAGATATTTCAGCAAACGGAGTCCGATTGTTCTTCACAAAACCCTGGGAAGACTCGGACCGGTGGACTGGTAGCGATACTCACCAAATGCCGACATTGGGAACGTTTTCGATTATTCTTCGTCAGGCCATTACAGTAATATAGGTCTCGTTAAAGCAGCGAAAGTTAAGAGGTAAAACAACATATGAACAGTAGTCATAGCTTGGGGTAAATGTGTTTAGACTTGTGGAGCAGCGGGATAATTATGGTCTTGTTTCTGTCAGTGTCACGGGTAGGGGGAGAGGGGATGGGGAAGTCGCACATTCGTTAATAACGTGTTACTACTGCGCCATGTGCGCATGCAAAAAGAGTCATTACAATCTGAGAATTATGAAGGGCTTACCCGGATCAGTGGAACTGGGTAGCTGACGTTTCGGAGGGCTTGGTCGGCTCTCCATTATCAAAACGGTTTGGGCAAAAAAGTCGACCAGAGTTTTGAACAAACTTCCGAAGTATTTGGCCTTGAGTAGATCGATTTTTCTCTCCTTTCGCTGACTTGGCCTATTGGCCGCTGTTTGTGAATGTAGGAGTCTCCGGGGCGGTTTCACGACTGCTGCTACCCGCTAGAGTAGGCATTGCCCATCAACCCCAGGCAACAATTAATCGCCGTTTGATGTAACCCAAAGACATACTGCTACCCACTGAATCCTCAGCAGTTGTCTGACAAATACGTTGTAACGATAGACACTGCAACCACGTTGGGAAACCGGACGGAAATTGCCTACAAGAGGACAAACTATCAACTCGGAGACTAGACCCGGACTCACAGCTTTCGGCTCACATCGAGGAAACTGGCTACAGTTTTAAATTTCAAGAAGCAATCGTCTTAAGCCGGGGCACCTCAAAGACAGAACGTATCACACTTGAGGCTTGGTACACAGAAGCCAACCCCATCAACAAGCATCTAGACCTTCCTGCAGCCTATAAATTCCTGCATCACTACATACACCATGACTAGGACAAGACGGTCACAGGGAGCTCAAAAATACTGGGCAGTCGCGGCCGGTCGACTAATTCACTCAGAAGGGGAGCACAGGTGCAACCGACCTCCATTGGGGTGACGACACGTAACACAGGAGGCCGTTTGCATTCACAGACAACGGCCAATAGGCAAAGGCAGCAAAAAAAGTGAAAAGTCGATCGACCCCAGGTCGAAAAATTCGATCGTTTATTCGAAATTCTGGTCGATTTTTTTGCATAAAACGTTTTGACAATGGAGAGCCACTCAATTCCACTGATCCGGTAAGCCCTTCATAGTTCTCGGATTATCGACCCGGACCTCTTGCATTTGCTAACCTCAGCCACTACAATATTGTCTACCTCTCGAACCTCACTCATGCGATGGAGGTAAGTAACATCGGCGCCTTATCCCACCCGCGGTTGTTTGTGTTTGATAAGCTTTACACCATGTTGACCATTGAGTTCGGTCTCACCCGTAGTCAGCTTGACCTGGAAGTGCATTGTTATCGAATACGAGGAAGAGTGTGAGGTCGTTTCAACTTTCACAAGCAGCACTTGTTTCCCTCACTACACAGAGACTGGTCTACCCTCAGCTATGTGTGCTACGCGCAGATGTGGTCCCAGCCTCATCCACCTCAAATTTACACGACCCTGCCTTACCATGAGCAAATGGCGGAAATACTAATTCAATTTTAGAACGATCAAACTGGTTAATAACATGAGGACAAAACTGTCTATTGTTGTTAGTGCAGAGTATTATTATATATGTAGAGATCCTTCAGCCGGCAATGGGAAACCGGCAGCACCTTCAAATTCTTCCGGCTTTTATCCCGCCAGTGATGCTGCATTTCCTGTCCTGCACTCTGCGCGCATTCTTGGATCTCCATGTTCTCTAACAGTTATGCACTTTTCCCATTACCTCCGCGAAGTCCTAAAGATTTCAGAATTCGTGCAGCGGGGGTCCTAAGGGAGGTTAATGGTTCAATGGATCGGTCTTTCAGAAAATTATTCGACTGGAGTGTACCAATTTGTGCCTTTCTTTTTGGTGCACATCGCCATATACCATTGGTGATGCAATATATTTATATCATTGCGTGCACCAACACTTTAAATTAGCAATGGCATGTCCTACTTTGAATTCTGTCTTAGTCACGAAAAAATTAGCAATTCTGTCGGCCATACCATCATAGAGATTATAGATGTGTGATGAGCACCCAGTATAGAAAAGCATGTTGGTCGACGGCTGATTTGGAAGCACCAGATAAAAGATTTACGGTTTTTGGAATTTCGATAATGTTCATTAGCGAGTAAATAGAAACAATTTGTGGCTCACCGAATGTGGTAGGAAAATCCCAGTGGTTTGACAGTAAGAACCCTAAAGTGACCAAAATTAACAATCTGGTCATTGGTCAGATGCCTACGCAGAGATCCCGATTACGTGTATGCACCAGCTTTTGTGTGTTTAAGCGATACTATTCGGTTAGTAATGCTACTAAGTTTCATAGATTTGCTGATGCGCTCTTCACGGATGAGTGAGCGCTGAACACCACGACAGAATTAGACATGTGACGGAGCACGAACCTCTTCACCTACGGTTGTGCCAACGCCCGTCTAACTACCAACACGGACTAGAGATAGTCATGCATGACGCATGGTAAATTACCGCAGACATGACGCCATAACCACAAATCCCCGCATCAAAATATGTACCATGCACACACTTCCCACACTTTTCAACACCGTCACCTCTCACGTAAGCCAGAAGGGCACTTTTCGGCTTCTTCCGTCAGCTGGCTCCTTTGCTACAC